TAATTTGATGCGCTTAATGAGTGATTCAGCTAGACCATTTTGTGTGTGGACATAAGGTACCGGATGCTCCACTTTGATGCCCAGTGACATACAGTAATCATCAAAAGCTTTCAAAGTAAATTCACCGGCATTATCCAGTCTGATAGTTTTAATTTGATACTCAGGAAATTGAGCTCGTAATTCAATAATTTTAGCAAGGAGCTTTGGAAAAGCCTGATTTCTGGTGGACAATAAACACAAATATGTCCATCGAGTGGAAGCATCTATCAATACCATAAAATATCGAAAAGGTCCCGAAGTGGGATGAATAGGGCCACATATATCACCTTGAATCCTATGAAGGAACGTAGGAGATTCAATTCCAACTTTAGTACGTGAAAGTCTCAATATTAATTTTCTCTTTGCACAAGCATCACAAATAAATTCATTAAAAGAAGGGAGATTGTTGCTTGATACGCTATGCCCAATACAATTAGAAATTATCCGACGCATCATACTAAGCCCAGGATGACCCAATCGCTCATGCCATAATTTAAATGAATTTGGGTCTTTAAATTTTAAGCTCAATGCAACATGATTAATAGAAGGTCGAATGTAAGTATGGTACAAGCCTGAGGAGAAAGAGGGAAGTTCTTCTACAATTTTCTTTTGACTCCTTGTGAATGAGTCATTAGAAGATACTCTATATTGTTTTCAGTCTTAGTTTCAATATGAAAACCATTAGATCGAATATCTTTAAAACTAAGGAGTGTTCTTTGTGATTCAGGGTACAAAAGCGCATTGTTAATTATTAATTCGGTACCCTTAGGAAGAGTAAGTAAATCTCTGCCAGAGCCTACTATCAAGATTTTATCATGAGCAATTGTAGAAACACTCCCTTTCTTTTCATTTAAAGTTTGAAAAAATTTTCTATCTTTCAAGATAGTATGCGTAGTAGCACTGTCGACTAGACATAAAACGCCCTCTTTCTCCATATAATGCAAACGAATGAATGGTTGTGGTACACTAAAAGAAAAGTAAAACATTATAAGCAAACAAAGCAATCATGAAGTCCCAATCAAAACATAACGTCTGAAAACATACCAGTAGCAAAAACAAACCACAAATGTCTGGCGAAGCAAAAGAAATCAGAAATGTCTAATAGCAAGAAACAAACCACGAAATAAAAATATTCAGTTCTAAGATAGAAAGCATATTAATCACACATCATCACCATAGTCCTCGAGCTCAAGCTTCAATAAATCATCATCATCAGCATTGAAAGCTAAATTTGCTGCAGGCAAACTAGCATGATGTGATTCACCTTGAGGAGACTTTCCTTTATTATCCTTTAGCATTCTTTGATAGGCCTCAACTAGATGCCGAGGAGTACGACATGTGCGGGACCAATGATTATCGCATCCACATCGAAAGCAAACCTGCTTCTGCTCTTTAGGTTGTGGATGTGAATCGCGTCGATTTGAACGATCCACCTCAATGTTCAAGTTCTCGCTACGACCACCCGGGACGTTATCACCATGACCTCGCCCACCATCTCGAGTCCAAACACGGCCACGACCGCGTCCACGACCACGACTACGACCACGTCCACCACGGGGTGGCTAGGTATGGTATCCTCGACCTCTCCCTCGTACATTATGATGCCCGTGAGTAGTCGCATGTGCTTCAGGCTCAGCTTGAGTTCCAACAGGCCTAGCATTATGATTTTTCATCAACAATTGATTGTGTTTTTCGGCCACAAGCAAAGCAGATATCAGCTCAGAGTGAGTTGCATAGTTTTTAGCCCTATGCTGCTGCTGGAGTACAATGTTACTAGCATGAAAAGTTGATAAAGTCTTTTCAAGCAACTCGGCCTCTGTAATGTTCTGCTTACAGAGTTTCAGCTGTGAAACAATATGATGTAGGGCCGAATTATATTCAGTGACGGATTTAAAGTCCTGAAACCGAATATTAAGCCAGTCATACTGAGCTTGAGGGAGAATTATGGCTGTTTGTTGGTCAAAGCGATCCTTCAGGGATTTCCAAAGATTGGCGGGATCTTTTTCGGTGAGATATTCATTTTTCAGATCTTTATTGAGATGGTGGCGGAGAAATATCAATGCCTTTGCCTTCTGGGCAGAAGTGCTTTGAGATGTAGAAGCAGTTGTAGCACTTAAGTCGAACGAGGCCAGGTGAATCTCAACATCAAGGGCCCAAGTCAAATAATTACTCCCATCAAGGGCGAGCTCAGCAAATTCTCTTTTGGTGATATCAGACATCTACAATTTATTCAATACAAACATAATATGACTTATTCAATGCAATAATATTTGATCAACCAATCAGTTTAACAAAACTGAAGAAAAAAAACTTTTACGGCATGCCCATTAAAAGCAAATATATGTCCAACAATAATTCTTACATTATGCTGCTAAACAAACATATTTGAGTCAATTCAATATATAGTAAATCACACATAAATTTGAGCTAACATATAGAATATCAATTTCACATCTGCCAGATAATTCCAACATATGCTGACCACTCATATGTATTTGCCAATAATCATTCCCAACAGGCACGAAAGGATCCATTTTTTTTTTTTTTTTTTTGAAAACAGAACCTAAAAGGGATGCTTTCGTCTGTCCTCTGTTAAATTATATTACCCAACGATTGTAACAGTGCAAAACAAAAGGAACATCACATAATCTGATTCAGTATTCTGAACAGCAAACTAAAAACACAGCTCCAGAAATTTCAAAACAAAAAGCCATTCAGTCAACACAGTACCATAGCAACATCAACGTAGGTGAGAAAGGATCCATTTAAACAAACAACAATTTCATTCAATAAAGCATGCGAGCATGAAGAGTGAAATTCATGATTGTTGCATATGTAGCCTAATGCTTTTTCTTTCTCGGGTTTGAATTTGTGATTTTTTTTTTTTTAAGGCAGTTTTGAAGATTTGAGATAAGAGAGCATTGAAGCAATTCATTGAACATGAAATTCTTATGAATTAAGGAAACAGATCTCGAAAATACCTTGCAGGAAAAACACGATTTTTTCCTAGGGCAAACACCAATAGCGAACTAGAGCGTGCTGATAACGTGTTGTAAATTGGAGTCCTCTATATTCACCAAGCATCCATCAATCAACCAAATATTTAAAATATGCAGTAAAGAGAACAAGAGAAGAGAAGCAAAAAAGTGTATCTATTATTCATCGGTATTCACTCTTTTATAGAGTTTACAAAAGGGAAAACCCTAAAACCTAATCCTACTAACTAATAAACATCATGCCCAATTATATATATTAGTAATGTCCATATTAATATATTTATAACAAATTTTATCACAAAATTATTTTTATTGTTGCATATCATTTGAATAAATTTGAATCAATATGAGTTGTATGACTGTCTATAGATACATTTTTAAATAAAAATAAATAAAATATTAAAATAGCAACACGACAAATAATGTTTTATCTGTCTTTTTTAATTGGACTTATAATTAATAATATTTGATTATTTAAATTATAAATTAGTACTTATCAACCTAACATTGACTCTATGAATTATAAATAATAATTTTATTATTTTTAAATTTAATATTTACTTATTTTTTAATTTTTAATATGATAACACCATTCAATCATTCGTTTACTTTATTTAAGTGGAAATACAAGTTTTAAAAGTCGTTCATATTCATTCTATGTTTGTACCTAATCGATATTCTTTTTCCATAAAACTACCAAAAAAAAATAAAAATTATTTTATGTATATTTATCTATTTTTTAAAGTAACATATAGTTCCATTTATTTATTTTTTTAAATTTGGTTTGACCAAAAAAATTATTTATAAAGATATATAAAATAAGATTTAATTTATCAATGTGGTATGGATGTCAAATTGAAGAATGATTAATTTGATAAATAATACTGCCATTTATTTTTTTAAATGTCATTTTAGCTTTATGAACTATTAACAAAATAAATGACGTTTTAGGTTTTTTTGTAATACTTTTCATCTTTTCATATTTACTCTTTATTTTTCCCAAAGCATTCATCTCTACTTTCATTAAATAGGATTATTGTTGGCAAAAAAATATTTTTAATTACTGTACAACTTCTTAAAACGACACTTATTATGCATAAAAGAGAGTATCAGGAAAACGGAATACACACAAGACATGTATTAACTTTTACATTAGGATAAAATGGCATTTAAATAAATAAAATAAATGAGAATAAATAATATCACTTTTGTATGTTAAGATTTGATTCGTGAAAAGAAAATAGGACAAAAATATGCATATTTACTAAAATTGCAAATAACATATTTACGTCAAATACCAAACCTAATTCCAAAGAAACTATACGCAAACTATATTACCAAACCTGATTCCAAAGAAATATTATACACAAACTATATTATGAAACACGGAATTTTGATTCCAAAGAATTAATGTATACACAAACCATATATTATGAAACAAATAATTTTGTCATGTCGTCATTCGAAACGTGCGAGTCTGTCACTTAAACTCAACACATTTTGAATTAATACAGAAGGGAAATCTACCATGTACTTAATAATCACATAGCTATTACACTCCATTAGTCAAAACAACTAATATTAGCCGTTTGGTTAAAATAGTCGACACAAACTAGTTGTAAATTTATTTCACTTTCTTTTCTTCGAGCTAAGGCTTCTAAAAATTGAGCATTTCGTTTGTGAAGAAACAAGTGAAGATTAAACAAGTGAAGAAGCAAGTGAAGATTAAACTATCACAACAATGGCGGATGGACAATCATAAGGTCATATGTTATTACATTCTACAAAAGCTCACATGAAATCTATTCTTAGAAAAGAAAAGGCAGAAAATTTGATGCTAAAATTCCTTTCATTGCATAAAAAAACAGCTTACTGATATAAAAGTAAGTCAACTAACATATTATGCAGCACAAAGTCCTTTGTGACGACAATAACAGGCTGCAAAACAAGATGAGCTCCTTGAATTTATGGCCCCCGGCACCGGAATGTACACAAGTGGCTCCCGAGCGGTGAAATCATGTCCACGAGTGCTCCGTAACCTGACACAGCCGTTACCTGAAGAAGAAACACACGAGACGAGCATAGAGTAGGTTTAACTGAAGCTATTATTACACTATTTGGAGTTTTTGCATCATTATTCGGTTCGGAAAACTATGGACGAATTAATATGGTTTAGCCATTGGATTATTATAATCTCAATTTCTTCTTCTTTTTAGATATCTGAACTCGAGATACTTGGTGTCTTATAAAAACTCGACGAAATGATGTTGTTCATGCTTTCCTAATAGCAATCACGCCCGTATTTTCTTTCATTTGAGGTTTTTGAACAAAATAATTTAGTCAAAATAACATGGTCCAAGTACATTGTAAAACTCGGAAACAAATGCTAACACATGTATTAAAAGAGAACTTACATCTGAAGGATGCAAAGAAATGGAAAATGCAGATTGCGGAGCAATTTGAATCTGTGAGAGAATATCTCCATTTATGTTTAATCGTGTAAGCAATGGTTCGGCTCCGACAGCTAGAATCTGAGGAAATGACAACTTATATAAGGGAAAGAAGCCAAAGCAAAACACACAAAACAAAGACATAACAAAGTCTTGTTAAGGCCTCACTTGATTCTTATCGAATATAACATCCTGGACAGAAGCACAAGTTGTGGCCCTCGAAACGCACTCACGAGCTGGAAGATTCCAAAGTGATAACGACTGGCCTTTACCAGAAACCTACAAGGTACGAATATAATAGTCATACAACAGAGATAGGCGTATTGGATATTATATGCAATACGCCTATCTCTGTTGTATAAGCAGAGATAGGCTCTTGATATTATAAACTCGGTTATTTTTCTTTCTCCACGAAATCTCTTTTTTTTTTTTTTTTTTAGTTTAGTTTGTTCATTAGTTCATTCTTTCTTTACTTAATTTTTGTCCTTTTCTATCAGTGGGAAACATCTCGGGTCATGTTCTCTTACCAACCAGCTCTCACTTGAATCAAGAGCAATGCAACCGACACAAGGAAAAGATGCATTCTTCTCATCCCTTACTGGGTTTATTACTTGTATGCATTTCCCACTTTTGCAATCTACACCAGATCACATAACTCAATCAGTTCAGAAAAATTGAAATTCATGGTATTTCCATGTGAGATGGTTGATTCCCCAAGTGATAATGTAAAAAATACCCCATATGCGAGCAGTGCCATCTTCTGAACCAGTGACAATCTGAAACGCATCCAATATTAAGGCAACACAAATAACAGAACTTAAACAAAGAAGTTTTGAAAGACAACATTTGTGTACGCAAAGGCTCGCTAGCATCAACTTTCTTCTGAAAAAAACAAAATTTTAAAGCACTTAATATTTTTTAATCAACGACTAAGTACAATCATTAAAACCAAGTACCAGCTCGAGCAAGGATTCTGACCTGATTGCTCAACTTGCAGGATACAACACAATGTAGATAGCTCGTATGCCCTTTGAAAACCATCTTAATCTTGCAGCTTTCCTAGACACGGTATAAATTAATTTATAAGTTGTGCATTTCTATGTCGTTCTTTGCTTTTCCTTCTTAATTGGTCATCTTGAGCAAATACATACCACATCCCAGCAATAAGCACACGAATCACCAGCAGCACTATATATAGACCCACTCTACAACAAATGAACATATATGTTAGGAAGTATTTGACGACTAACAAAAGCACGACGAAAGGCTGGGGCCAGGGGAAGTACCAACACGAAATAATTAGGAAAATCACCAGGAGTGAGTTGTTTCATTTTCACCCCTAATTCCTAACACCAAGTTTACCTAGAATTTAATGCCAATATGAATATCTATCACATTGTTAAATTTCTTTTCAAATTACTGATTTAACGCATGCTGTTCTGTTGCACAAATGCATATTCCTTAATTGAGCTAGAAAAGTACAGGAGGCTCACATGGCAGATTAGAATCCACATAGATGTTAAAGAACCTAGCAGATTAGATTCCACATAGATCTTAAACAAAATAGCAGATTAGAATCTGCGTAGATGTTAAAGAAACAATCAGATTAGAATACACATAGATGTTAAAGAGATAATCAGATTAGAATCCACATAGACGTTAAAAAAACTAGTCTTATTATTTGTGGGAGGTACAATGAGTGCAAATATGCTTTAAAGCATCAAAAACTGATGTTTTGAACTTTGAGAAAATTACTCCATAGTTTTCTGACATTTAAATAAAAGAACTACCCCAAAAAACTATCATTTCGAGGTAAGATTCACAAGAGAAGAAACAAAAGAATTCAAACCTTTGAATCAACTGCAATAGCATTATTTTCTGGAATTGGGGAGAGTGCTCCCCAAGGACCTCTGCAAGTGAATAAAGTAATGCAATAAGCTTTAGGCATAACTATTCAAACAAAGGGAAAGACTGTAAATTCGGATCTTAGGGATGGTAATTGGAGGAATACAACACACAGAATTGGAATCCAAATATTTGGCAGCTGTAGTGGTTCTACCATGTGACCATAAAAGGATATAACAACATGAAACAGATTAAACATCCTCACAATGGAACACATCAATGGTATGGCTTTCAAGAGCAACAGAGAAATAGGACAAATGATGCATATGATTACTCGAACACCATATTTTATGTCCATATTAACTTTTTATAATATTTGGAAAAACTTAGCTCTTATCGTGCCACTTTTCCTATAAATAATAACGTTTGAAAATCAATCATATTGATCAGCTTAGGCAGAGGTTCACAGGTCTTCGAGAACCATTACATGCTAACGAGCACTGCCATGCCATTTACACATACAAATATTTATATGTGTGTGTGTAACGTTACACATACGTTTGACACAACAACAGTGGACTTAACCAACTCCAAAAAAAAAGTACCCCTAAGCTAACTTTTTTATACTAATAAAACACAATTGAACCCAGACAACTAACTTATGTTGAGGATTCACCAAGTCAAGCAATGGCTTCATCTTGTTTCCTGGGAAAAGACAATGAACAAATATAAAAAACGATGTGAGACAAAAAAAAGATGAATAACTGAAAGTAAAAACTAATTGCCTTACTGTTACAAAATAGCTCAAACTATAGATGCCACAATTGAATGTGTCAAAATATTCATGGATAAGTTACCTTGCAAAGGTGCCTCACTTTTTAATATTTCTTTCCATTTCCATCCTCGAATCCGACCATCATCACCACAACTAGATAATGCAGCAGAAAGTCAACAAACATAATCGCAATTACATAATTAATCCAAGGAAAAAAAAAAGATTCGAAAGAACAGAACTTTCCCTACAATAAGACAGCTATAAGACTACAGCAAGTTCAGCACACCACATTATCACTATCACATCCACAATTAAGTAAAAAGTCCCGATAATCGGCAACTAATCAAGAAACAAATCAATACCTCAGCAATAGCGAATTGTCATAAAACTTAACATCATAAGCCGGTCCATCGTGCCCTTGAGTCGCAAAACTCGGTTCCGCCACTGACCAACTTCACAAGGAACCAATTTTTTCACACAATACCCAAATCTGCAGAAACATTGAAGAGAAAGAGAGAGAGAGAGAGAGAGAGAGAGAGAGAGAGAGAGAGAGAGAGAGAGAGA